GATGAGTAAAAAATGAACTAAAAACAGATACTTCAGAATTACAAATTTCCATTTCAATAAATTTTATTTTAGAAGCTTACAAAGAGCAACACTATAAATAACATATTTTAAACGTGAATTTTTTAAATTATAATACAGGTACATGCTTATCTCTATGCAATGTAATCAACATTTTTAACGTACTTCGTAAATTGAATGTATAAGCTTATCCTTTCATTTAACAAATTGAAATATTATAAAATATTATTGAAAATTTATTATTATTAAGTCAGTAGGCTAATGTGGATCTTTTAAAAGTTTATAGGAAATAATATTTATTATTACCAGGAATTAACTGTAATATACTATTAAATAATTTTCATTAGAGCAAAGTTTTTTATTACAACAGCTTTGTTCTATATGCATAATTGTATGCATTTGTTTTGTTGCTAGATAAGCTAATTAATCATTTAAATTAAATTATTAATTAGTTCGTAATTTTCACTATGTTCTAATTTTAAAAGAAATGAATTTTCTATGAAATATAAATACATTATTTCCAATAAAATAATAATATTCTCACAATCAATTAAATAATTCTACATTAGTTATGCAAGACCTTAACATCAACAGAATATGTAGACTATAGATGAATATATAAAACGAATAACCCATATTTATAGATTTATATATTTGTGCGACATATAATATAATAATTATCTATAAAATTAAATTACCATATGTTTTGTAAATTTCATTTTACTTTTGTTTTCATAAAGTATTCGTCTGAAATATTCAAGTACAGTCACGAATGAAGCTCTTAGGCTTTATTTATGTAAGAATTTTCAAAATCTTAATATTTTCAAATTCCCAATGCAAATGAATAATCTTTTAATAATTCAAGAAAATACTTAAGTATTCTACATTAGATAGATATATTTAATATAGTAGCCGTATATCGGATAATAATTATTAAAATCATGTCGGAAGGGACTGTGGCTATATTGTTAAATCACGTAAAGGTGTGAAATCTCAATTTTTACTTTTATTCATTCATTCATTCTTTTATTGCATTCATCAAAGTATTTTCCACGACAAAATGCATTGATTGCTTCTCTTTGCTGGTGAATTGAATTCATGGATCTATTAATTTATTAATTTTGTCACAATTCTAGTAGTACGTTACTACTAAATCCAATTACATCAATCGATATAAGTAATACTTGCTATTAACTATTTTTTAAGACGTTCACAAATTCTACCCAATATGAATAGATCTTCAATTCGAGTTTTATCGGTATTGTATGAGTTTTATCAATGATATCTTGCGTAGCAAAGTTATTTTTCATATATATGATGTTACTTTGCAGCTACTATGAAACTACTTAAACGTTAAGATTATGTAAAAGGTATTCAATTCTCAAGTTAATGAGTTAGAACAATAAGTGTTAAAGACGAAGGAATATTGATGCGAGATGAAAATCAACAAATATTTCGACAATATTGCACTATTATTGCTTTGATCAATGGAAAAACAAAAAGATAGAAAATTGATTGCTCTTACTAATCGAAATTAATTAATATATTGTCGTTACATGAATATTTATGTTCTTTTCATTTTATCTATAGAAATATAAAATGAATTGAAATGACTCATTGAATAGTTATCTTAAATAGAATCATATAAATATTTTAACATTTATTATAAAGTTTGAATTAAAATCAATAAACACGACTAATAATAATGGTTTTAATTTTTATTTTATATTATAGTGTAATTTGTGTTTTTTTTTTAAATTATATTGATATATATTTGAAAGTCAAATCATTTGTTCAAAAAATATTACAATTAAAATTGTTAATAAATAGATTATACTTTAAATTAAAGTGTGAAAAATGTATGATGAGTTGTAACAGAGCTTTTCGACTAACTTCTAATGGTTGAGAAAAATTACAAGATGAACGACATCATTTTATATTACATTATTGCATATAATTACATAATTAATATTATGTATATATATATATATATATATATATATATATATTTTATAGTTGTTGCTGTAAATTTTTACATATATTGTCGTAAATTGGGTACAATTCCTATTTGTATGTTGACATATTAATAAGGAAGGATTCTAAAGCTCAATATATCCATTATTAGATCCATAAATAAGATACAAAGAATTTGAAAAATTTTATCCAAAAGCCATCAAAATAAAAATATTTAAAACAGAGAATTTTGAAGTCTGATAATCAATAAATATCTCCTCTCAATAAAAAGAAGGGCGAGACATGATCTAAATTTATTGTAAATAAAGATTGAAGTCACATAAAAAAATTTTTCAAATAAATGTCAATACTATTATGCAGGTTTTATTAATAAGGAGTAATGAAAATTGAAATAGCAAAGTCGCATCCAAATATTTTCATATGTCTAGCCATAAAACTTGATCATATAAAAGAGAATTCTTTGAAGCAGCCATTTATTTATCATAATAATATTTACACTATAAACATTTATACATTTTTAGCAGTAAGGTAGTTATTTCAAAATAAATGGTATGAAAATTAAATGAAAGTCAAAAAACGGTTCAAACAAAAATATTAAATGGAAAATGATTGATTATGGACTTTATTATAAAATATTTGAACTTCCTTCTTAATATCCATAGATTTTATATTATTTTTACTTTTTCGATATGATTAATAGAAATATAAATTATCACTAGTGAACAATTGTACTTCTGTTGGCAAAAGTTTGACAAAAAAGAAATCATTATAACATTCAAGTCCTATAAATTTTTTCACCCTTGATTGGCCCACTTTTCGCACACGAAATAATTGAGGAAGAGGGATTGGGAAGCGAACATAGTCGAGTTATTTGATGATCTATTTTAGAAGCAGCCTCCGAGGATTAAAAAATAAATCATTTGCTTTGATTGACTCGCCGTCCGCACCAGCATCTTTGAGGCGTAGCCAAAACACACCGATTGACCTATTATTGTTAAACGTAAAAGGGAACGAATGATACTACCCATAAAAGGTTATTATGAAATAAATAGATAAGAGAGAGAGAGAGAGAGAGAGAGAGAGAGAGAGAGAGAGAGAGAGAGAGAGAGAGAGAGAAGGAAAATAAAAAGTAGAGAATAATAATTTTTCTTTATTCACTGTTCACTTTTTATTTCTGTTCGATCTCGTATTCAAGTATAACGACACTTTTTATAAAGTATCATTTCAATAATAGAGTAGTGTTAAAATCGCACTTAATCATTTATTAAAGAAATATATTTGTTTTATTTTGCTGAATTCTTTTATTTATTTTTTTTTTTTATAATAACACACTTCACTCTTTTTCAGAATGTGGTATGCCATAGAGTTATGGCATATCGTTGTTAACATGTATTTTGAGCTACTAGAATAAAAATTTACCGTAGTATATTAAAAGGTAAATCCGACGGAAATAGGGAAGCATATATACATACATGTGGCCTTATAAAAAGTCTTACGTAGGTAAGAAAATCCATGCCAAGGTTACTGACGGCAAGGGATGGCAATCCCGTTATAATATTCATAATCGAATAAATGTAAGAAAATATTTATATATGTTGTTTCTATTACTTTTATGTTTTTTTCTATATATTATTATTATTATTTTTATAAAAACTAAATTTGGTTTTTAATATACGCAATTATAATCTAATAAAATCAAATATTATTTCTTTCTTATAACAAACTACAATGCATTTTAATTTATATAGTTTTATAATTGTTGATTAGATTTTCCAATTCAAATTACCATGAAAATAGGGGGCACCTCATAATAGAATTCATTTTCCAAATCTGTTATACGTACAAAATTATATCTTACTTTTTCTATTTTAATAGTTATCCATAATAATAGTATTAAATTTCGACCTTATAGAATAATTATGTCAATCTTTAAATACATTATCTCCAATTCTAAATTTCACAATTTTTTTGCATATTCTGATTAAAAAATGTATTAAGACAATTAAATATATATTAAATAAAAACTTAAATATATGAATAATTAAGTATATGCTAACTCTCCCTCTAATATAAAGAATAAAAGGTCTAGTTACTAATTTAGTCAATTATGAAAATATATTTTTTAATATTCATAAATAATTTTATTAAATATTTTTCAATTTAAAAATTACCGCCTCAATGCGTGAAATGAAAATTAAATATTGAACGCATTATGGACGCATGCGCATTATGAACTTTTATTATTAAGTCTTGACTTTAATAGATCACTTTTATCATATAAATATAATATACTATAATTACATTTATATTTGAGATACAGAACTGTGTATATAAAAATTAAAATTGATTTAATTTTGAATAAATTCTTAAAATTTATGTTTTACTAAGAATGAGAATTTTTTTTATACAATATTTTTCCAACATCCAAACTTATAATTCCACCTATCTTTGATTTTTCAATAATTACAGTCTTTTATAATAAGTATAATATTATTACAGTATAATATATTAAGTATAATATATCTATACAATAGTAATATTTTTAATTCAAATCAAAATGATAAAAGAGTTTTGTAAATACGATTTTTCAACAAATTTTAATAATGCTGAAGATAAATGTAGAAATAAGTACTCTTATTCTATTTAACCATTTTGATTATGATTTAAATGATTATATTTAATTATTACCTTTCGTTCCCATCCAGAAATAAAAGAGTGCTTTCATTAAAAACTATTACAAAAAATATATATATATTTTTTTTTTTGTTTTAGTAAAACAACGGAAAGTTTTGGAACGACTGATTCTTGAATACTTTTATTTAAAAAAAATGCATGCATTCAACTAGTAAATATACATGTGCAAACATACGTATATATACATATACATATGTATATTTTTCTACATTTTCTGCATCTTCTCGTTAGTTTTGCAAGCAACTTTTCATTCATATTAGCGGATTGTTTTTTTTTATTTTTTATAAATATCAGTTTAAATTTGATAGATAGATTTTAATTCTTATTCTAGCTGTTTACAATTTATTAGCGACATAACCCAATTTAAACTTGAAGATATATGTTTTTTCAACACTTATTAAATTTTATATTTATATTTTTAAAATGCTATGTGTATTCAAAAGACTTACCTTACATGATGTAATAAAAATTCCAGTGAGATACAAAAATCCTCCTCATCACTGGGTAAATTCAGTTATTATATATGGTGACCAAAAGCAATTGATAATAAAATTTGCTAATAATATTTATTTATTTATTTATTTAGTCTATTCTTAGAAAAAAGAAATCGGCTAGTCAAAAGGCACTTGAACATTTTGATAGTCTGTACCCTGATATTTATGGGGATTTGTGGCAAAACATTAGGTCAGCATTGCTTGTTGAAAATCGCAATTATATTGCTGTTGTTAACAATTACAGTGATACTAAGAGGATATGCGAAGATCTAGAGGTAATAATAATGATTATATCTAATGTTAATAACTTATTTTATATATTTATTTCAGAATCTTGGAGCTATAAACGTGAAAAGTATTTTCGATATAAACAGAGCAAATTCAAAAGTAGAGAGGGTAAAAGAAGATATTGATAATTTAAATAAAAATGAAGATCTTATTTCAATAGATAATGGAATAGACAATTCAAGTTATTCAAATGAGGAAAATCATCTTAATGAAGAATTGAAAGATTTAAATGAGCCTTTTAAAGGTTTTCCACTTCAATCAATTGAAAAAGATATACATATACAAAATGATAATCGTATTATAAAATCATCGGTTGGTATATCGGCATCTCAGTTATTTGAATTTATTCCACCATCTCAAATCAAAGGTTTGAATATAATCAATATATTTTAATAAAGTTTTAGGTATTTTTAATGGCACCTTTTATTTTAGGTATGGATGACTTTGTTTTTGAGTCCGATCAATATATTAATTACAATAAAGGAGCAGATTTTTCTATTAAAATTGAAGAAGAACAAAATTTTAATTTTCCTGATATGCTCTTTCTTTATACATTTGACAATGAAGATAATGAAAGATTTCCAATGCCAAAAATGGGATCAACCGGAGTTATAGGTAATAAAGTAATAAACCATGATTAAATCTCATTATTAAGACAAAAATATGATTATTGGACATAATATATATTTGTAAAAAAAAATTTTTTATCAAAGATGGTCAATAAAAAATTTCATTTCCTATTGCGGAGTTGAGTCTAGGAAGCAATTATTAATTCGAATATTCTAAAATACATTACATTCTTTAACATACGAATAATTTTAGTATTTTTTTTAGATTATTTTGTTGTAGATAGTGCTTCTATTTTACCAGTATTATCGCTAGATTTACAGCCTGGTGATAAAGTATTAGACATGTGTGCCGCACCTGGTGGAAAAGCTCTAATAGCCTTACAAACTATGATCCCAGAAATGATAGTGGCTAACGATTTACAACAATCCAGAGTAAAAAGAATAAAATATTTTTATAAATCATTTGTCAGCAATTTTGAAGACTCGAATAACAAATTCATCATTACGCAAGGCGATGCCAGATTGTTGAATGATAAAAATATTTATAATAAGGTAAAATACTTTCAATGTAAAAGTATTCCTATTTTTTCTTTTTTTAAATTATAAGTGTATAAGAAAAGTACATTTCCATTAGATATTAGTGGATGTGCCTTGCACAACAGATAGACACACTCTTCATGAAGATGATAATAATATTTTTAAATCATCTAGACTCAAAGAAAGATTAAAATTACCTGAAATTCAAACAGAAATTTTAGTGTAAGTTTGGAGAATATTTATAGTTGTACAAGTTTCATTTACTAACACTATTATGTCATGTTTTCATTTTTTTTTATATTTAGAAATGCTCTAAAACTTGTTACTTGTGGTGGCACAGTTGTATATTCAACATGCACGTTAAATCCTATTCAAAACGATGGTGTAGTACAAATGGCTCTTAAAACAGTTTACGAAGAATGTAACAGCACCTTTGTAGTAAAGTAAAGTTTTTTTATATGAGAAAATGTAAAACTATGAAAGGCGTAACCAAGTTAAAGAATTTAGGTGTTTAGTTACTTAAATTAATTGAACATGTCGCAATATTTTTATTTTTGTAACATGAATTCTCTATAATAATAATCATTGAGTTTTTAAATTTTAAATGCAACTAGAAAGCAAAAATGGAATATTTATATTATCCATTTCATTTGTGTGAACTTATAATTAATTACTATAAATTATTTTTGTATTATTTATAAAATAATTATGTGTTATTAGAGATCAGGCACCGTCATTGTATCCCTTGCATTATCTGTATGAATTTGCAAATTGTGGACTAAGATACGGCCACATTGCTGTTCCAACGAAGACAAAGAACAAAGGTCCACTATATTTTTGCAAAATGATTAAAGTTCAATAAAGCGAGTGAGTCAATTTTAATAAGGAATTATTATATTTCTTTTTAATTACTTTTATACATTGTATATCTATACTTTTTCCAATGATAATCAATTGCCGTAGACTTTACTTTAGAGGAGTGAAAAAATATTTAAATTATTCAGCTAAATTATAGACTTAATTTACAGACATCTTATAACTATATATAAATAATTACATATCTTAAATTAATATATTTGCATCATAAAATAATTATTTAAAGTAAATGCCTCTTAATATACATATTTTGCTACTTAATTATAAAATATATTTTGTTTGTACTGTGTATCGATCTATTTCCTATAAAATAAAAGTAAAATAAAAGTGCAAGCGAAATTTTCTTTCTTTCTTTTTCATTTTTATAAAACACTAATAGTGATAATGCTTTATTTATAATACAAAGTCCATAAAAAATCCTTTGTTATTGAGACATTTACAAATGTGTTATTTACGAGAAACAGTCGTTTGTAAGACTTTTTTTTTTCTTTGTTATATTAACATTCTATTTAAATTTATAATTTTATTAATGTCTTGTTTCTTTTAGAGGAACTGTTTGTTCTGGCCTTTCAACAGCATGACATTTAACTTTATTCCATGGTTGCTCTTCGCCAGTACCAAACATTGTATAGATCAGCATTTCAATGATATATAGACCTACTGTCATAAAAAAAATCACTCTCCAGGCCTCAATGGTTTGCTGTAAATAGAAACATTGTATATTATTAATGTAATAAATGATAATGTAAAGTCGTCTTGTAAAAGATTTATAATTTCTTGCTAATCATATAATTATAATCTTCCAATAAAACTTACTACTTTTATTCTTATAAAACGCTCTTTAGTCTTACGTTAATATGTAGAATTTATGGAAATTACAAACGGAATCGTGGAATTTTACTAAAAAAAATTTTATCAGTATTGATCATCCAATAGAATATCTTTATTTAAATGCGAATGTGTGTATAAGTTATATGTTGAATATATAATGGCATCTAATGCGATATATACGGATATATCATATTATACACAATTTTAATCGTCATTATGTAAGAATGCCAATGGATCGAGTCATTATCGCATTAACATTTAATGGTTCAAATCAATTAAAAATACGTGAGAATCCTTACGTTGCCATGAGTTAAATTTCCAACGAAAATCGGTACAACAAATCCTGGTATAGTTGCGACTGTATTCGTGATGGCGACGAGAGTACCAGCAAAATTTGGAGCTATGTCAATGTGGTTGGCCAGGAATCCACAATACATTCCACCAATACATGTGACGCCTATTGTCATAAGGGCCACTGCTAAGTTTTTGTCGCTGACATAGGATACACCAAGTAAGCAGAACATAGGAACCGCCGATGCTAATAGAAATGATAACGATAACATTAGCAATTTCTTTGCGTCCTCTTTCGAATGCATTTGGGGTATTTTTTTTTTTTTTTTTTTTTTAATATCATTATTTGATAGTATTTTAATATTTTAAAGTAACCTTTGCTCGTTGGCGAATGTATATTTCTAAATTATTAATGCCAAATAAAATATAACGTAAATAAATTGCATCCATTTCTAAATAGCAAATGATGCTCGCATTTCCTCGCAGATAAACATTTACATTTTTAAAAATTTACTTACAAAATAATGTTCCAATTTTTCTCGAAACCGTTACTGATATCCAATTTTTGTCTTGCATAATTACAAGGACCTTACTGAGAACTAGTGTAAAAACCCACATGCAAAAGAATGGTAATGCGGATAGCCATGCATTCTATAAGGATAAAATTATTAAATAAAAATTTACTATTAAAGTATTCCCATTGCAATTGATTTCAAGTACAAACGTCTTACCTTTTTCAGCTCATAGTGCAATATTTTATTCATAAATGTGGGAAGTTCAATGAGTAACATGTACCAGCCGAAATTGCTGCAAAAATGAGCAACTAAAATAGCTAAAAATGGTGGTGACTTAAGAATTTGAAACCATGGGACTGTTGACAGTTTCTGTAAAGAAAATATTAACTTATTATTTCTATTTGATTTTACGATAAGTTTTTGTATATTGTATATGTTGTAAATATTCGCTTAATAATTAATTTTTTAATTTAATAAGAGCAAGGCTCGTTGAATGAAAACTAACTGCTGTTACTAAAGTCTGCGAGATTTCATAGACTGTTAATCCTTTTCCAGAATATAGTACAATTGGAGTATAGTACACGACGTATACATACATAACCAGCCAATGTATTTAACGAACAATGCAATTCACCAAAAGCATAAGCGATTAAATATTTCTGGAGTATAAGAAACGGATAATTTTCAAAAAAAATTTCAATTTGATTCGCCATCACTGTTAATTACAATTTACAAGGAAATAATTATTTGACCATTAGGTCTTATATTATAATATTTTGTAGTATAGAATATCTTTGAATATTATCGAGTACTCTGAAATAAAATATTGTAAGTTCACACGACTATTTAATTCATTAAGGTATATGTAATTTATATTTATAAACACTTAAAACTTATTTTATTATTAGAAAGTCTTGTAGAAGAATTTTATCTTTACCAAATAAGCACATTAATGAAAGTAATTTAAATATTAAAAAAATATTCGAATTAAACGTCTTTCCGCTATATCAACATAATTAGACGTGTTCGAAATACAAAAAAAAAAAAAAAAAAAAAAAAAAAAAAAAAAATCAAAATTCAACTAATCATACCAATTTATGCGACTCCTTGGTTTGACCTAAAGAATTCATAATATACTCTCGTTCCTCGGTAGTGATGAGAACCTTTTGCTTCTCTGGCGAGTCTTGTATCATAAGACCCCAAGCTATACACCAAATCAAGCAAAGGAGACCCTCGATGTAAAACACCCACTTCCAGCCGAGGTTGGCTGCTATCAAGCCCGATAGAAGTATCGAGATAACAGTTCCAAGCGCAGTTCCTAAAATTTGAATAAATTATACGGCGCTCTTTTGATAATTTTTACCAAAGACATTACACAAATATTCGATCCGACATTAATTTAAATCTATTATTGCATGATAAGTGAAGAATAATAAAAAGAGTTAGTTATTTGTGTAAAGACTGTAAAGTCTATGAATACCTTATGAATGAAGAATTTTCAATTACTTTGGCGAACGGGTAATATAGAGCAAAATTATGAGGATTCTCTTACACACAATAAAGTTACGGTATTATTTCATATTATTAAGTTAATTAGAAAATTAAATTAGTTGATATATTGTAAATTGAATAGCTTTAACTTATTCGTAATATTATTCATATTACTTTAATAATTAATAAATAACGAGAACTTCCAAACCTTTTAATAATAGCGATGATATATTGAACAAAAGAGATTATCATTTCTAGCGTAATAAATTCGAAAATTAATTTTTTCGACTATTATAAGGTTTCCCTTTCTCAGAGGCATTGTAATATTTTATTTACATGCAAACTAAGTGTGGTAAAGGACTGTTTGATTCAAGTTCAATATCTAAGCTCTGATGGTCACTAATTTAACGATACTTCTGATCAAGTCACTAGAATTATATATCATTAGGCGAGTAATATAATTACTCTGATAGGTAAAATTACCCCTTTCATCATAATTATACGTTTGAAAACATTTTCATTCATTAATAGATTTTTGATAAAGTGCTCGACACATACCTACGGTATAATTTTAATAATCGAATTGAATAAAATGAATCAATCGTGAAACATTTATTCTAATGATTTAAATACTTTACAATATATGCGTCAAATAATTTTACATAAAATTCGATACAAAAAAGTTTTATTAATAGTAGTATTCATTTATCCTCGTCAAGCTGAAAAATAAGATCTGAAGAGAAAATACAGATTTCTATTGCTAAAAAGTTTAGTTATTACATTCAGAACTGCTTCAGAACTTTTATAATAATTGCAACTCCCATTTAATATAAAACATACTGCAACGATATTACTTTTAAAAAAAAGGGGGGGGGGATTCTGTTTAGTTTGACCTATTATAACATAGTTTATAAAATGTTATAATACGTTAAACTCAATTAAAAAATTCCTTATAATTAAGTAAAATTTATTATTTGTAATGAATTGTTTGAAAAAAGTAAAAAAGGTATTAATTTATTTAACAAATTGATGGATTTACATAATGGCTTCGCTATAAGAGCACTTTATATTTATTTAAAATATGTGTACACATGGAAGATCAGATATTTATGAACAAATAATGAAAATGGTAGTTTATGAAATGAAAGCGATACAAAAGCAAAAGTATATCCGAAAATGAGTTTTTGATATATTGATAAAACGAAATTTTCCTTTACTATTATATTTCTCCCTTTTAATGCAAAATATAATGATTGATATTGTAACATATATATTATATCAAAGTTTTAAATTATTTATAAAGTAATTTGAACGTAACAATGTAAAATATAATGATCAGTGTAATTGTCTCAAAGGCAAATGTAGTTCTGACGGCACTGCTGAATTATTTAATAAATTTACTACACAATATGGCTGGAAGTATTCCGAATACATCAGAAATAAAGGAAATATAATGCTTAAAGGACATTTTAAATAGAAGAAGGAATATAAAGTTAAAATTTCAAATAATACTAATTGTTCAATTTGTTTATGTAATCATCTGTTTTGAAGTGTAAACATTATTGAATGAAGATAGTCAAAAGATTTAATGTTTTATTTATTTATATTTTTTATAAATGACATTTTCTAAATCCAAATTTGATATGTTTCCCAAAGAATTGCATGTTGTAATTCACAATGAACAAGAAAGTAATCAGTCATACGGAACAAGTAGTATCTGTGGTTAAAGGAAATACTTGAATAGAACGAAGAGGGGAATAACCGGTTCAATAGGATTTTTTTTTTTTAAGAAAGAAATCCAATTTAAAATAGGTAAAGCACAAATATTTTTACATGAGCCATTAATAAAATTGTATGCCTTTTTTTTAGAATTGCTTACTAAAATCAAATTGAAATGTGTATTTTCATGAAATTAGTATTTTTATAATATATAAGCAAATATATTTTATGTAATTTCACTTACTTCTATGACTTATTATATCTTGCAATACAATTTTATTTTATTTGAAAAATGAAAGATGATCTTTGTATTACAACCTGATAAACAGATTAATCACTGAACAGAATTAAAATCATTTTATTTTCTGAATTTATCCAAAAGTTATACGAATTATATATTGTTGATTAATTTTTGATGAAATTTACTGTAAAAGTAAACACGATTTATTTTGTATATAATGTTTTTATATGAATATTTAAATATTATATACGCAGTAAAATGTCCGTAAATTTATTTGATTTATTTAAAATAAAATAAAGATATTTTCAATAAAATACGCAAGAAGTTTATATGTTAATAAAACGTAATTTTCAACAGAAAATGTATGATTAATATGCATAAAAAATAATTTGCATTTAATCATTCTTAAATATGTATTATTTAGATTGGAAACTTGAAGATTCTCTTTATATTACAATATTTTCATAGCATATTTCATATATATATGACGTAAAGTATCGATACTCGAACTTTCATATACGTGTGCACACTCACCAGCATAAGCGATGGATGCGAGTATACTGCGTTCGTTTGGTGGAGCCCATTTCGCGACCATCACATGTATGGCTGGAAAACTGACACCCTGTTAAATAATTGTTGGGTTGAAAATAAACTTTCAGTCACATTGAATTGCACCGATTCAATTAATTACACAATTTTTGCATTACCCAAAAATAATTATATTTATATTAAAAATTGAAAACATTAATTTAATATCAAGTTTATGTAGAATTAAATTATCTAGTTAAAACTTATATTCCTATAGTTAGTTATGAATATTGTTGGTTAACTTTTAAATTAATAAAATTATGTTTACTAATTAATTAAACATATTTATATAAAATTTGAGAAAAAAAATACATACGAATTCCTTAACGTTGTAGATAAATTTTAACGTATAAGTATTTAGTTTTAATATAATATTAATATTTTAATTTAATAAGCAATTTTTTATGTGAGGAATAATTTTCCAATTAGTTCTTTACAATTTATGCAATGAATTTTAGTCATTACAAGCTTTTTGGCAATATTGTATACTTTGTAAATCACTTTGCATTACTCGCATCAATAAAATATTTTCTTAATTCATCTTTTACAATTTTAGGCGAAATAACTTTGCTATTTGAATAATTAAATTACATTGTACATGTATATAAATGTATAATAATGTATGTTAATCAAATTATCAGTGTAGCTAAACCAGGTTATCAGTTAAAATGGAAATTTCTTGACATAGCCACTGATTTTAAAGTTGTAAATTGCTTGAATTGTATTATAGCATAAGATCAAGTCAAAAGAAATATATATTAGATTACGTGAAAACTGTAAGTAACGAAGTATTTTTAAAAGTGATGGAAAGATGTTATTTTTAAACTAATTATTTACATGATTTGTTCAATTCTTACGCGTATATCAATTAATAAATGAAATAAATACTAAAAATCATAATCATAAAAGAAAAAAAAATTTTTTCATTTCATTTACATTGTTTTAATTGATTAATTATTTTTTTTTTTATTAAATACGCTAATTTACTTTATTCAAGTAATTGAAAATTTATCTCAATATTTAATATTAATATTACTAATGAATTTCAATCAAATCGGAACTGTGGAAGATTAATTTTTAAACATGTTGCGATAAATAATTTTAATATCTTGAATTATTTAAAGGCATAGTATTATTATATATTCTTGTAAATTTAACTACTCGTATTTCTTATTACAAATAAAAGAAATAAAATAAAAAAAGTCATAAACATTTGACTCTATAAAATGAATACTAAGAAATTTTTTAATATAGATTTTATGTGCCGTCAGATTAAAAATGTTTTTGATACTTATTTCACTTTTTATGTAATTTACTTTCAATTTACCCTTTAATCTTACGATATAAAATTATATTGCTATTTTTATTTGCGCATAAAATTTTTTCTTACATTATAATCTATTATTATATAATTTACATGTTTATGTTAGAATTTTAATTATTTTTAATTAATACTTAACGTATTCATTAAAAATTTTCTCAAAATTGTGCATCACGTATAACATTTACATTATTTTCAAATAAATTATAAATTAATTAATTCTAATTTAAATTTAATTTCAAAATATTTTTTATATCGTAATAATTGGTTTAATACACTTCATTTAGTATGTTAATTTCTTTTTAAATCATTAACACATATTAAATGATTATTAAAAATTATTATCCATCATATATATATATATATATATATATAATTATACGAATATATTTTTAATATTATATATTTAATATATTTAAGCAGTACAAAATGATTTTTTTTTTTTAACCAAATGAAATTATGCAACTGTTTCAAGTTAATTTTAATATATTTAAGAACTATTAATAGAAATAAATTTTTCTATATAATAAATGTCGAATTTAAGTTAATGATGACTTTTTAACAGTTTTGTAGAAATTTAATTTTGTAGATAATGAGAAAATAGATAGTTGATAAAAACGACTTAAATTGCAGATTTGTAACATGTTAAAAGAAAAATTAATAGTAAATTTAATTGAGCTAACAAATTGAAATAATCAATGATAAAAATATTTAAGCAAACAACTATACTGATATTTTGAATTAATCTTATTCTTAAATTTAAATTTAAATTAAAATGAATTTATCCTTTTTTCTTTAGATACTTTTTAATATAATTTTTTGGTAAATAAATTAAAGGCAGAAATGATATGAGAAACCAAATTATTTTATCAAATAATATTTTACAAATCGTTTTGTTGATTACTAGCCAAAACCAATGATTCGGAGACATAAAACTCTACGAGGTATATCGTGAGTTAAAATCTCGGATATTTTTAACGATCGTTTTTTTTTCCTAAAGAAACCAAGAAGTTCGACTATTTATTTTTGAGCAATATTTTAAGAATACTATTTTGTCATGGAAGTTTAATTAGATCATAAAAATCTTGTAAATTAATTTGTGAAACGCCTATCAAAAATATGAGAGTGTGTAGTGTGTAATCATATCAAACTAAAGTTTTCTTCTTAATTGTAAAATAGTTGTAAACCGTAACAAAACCGTCAGGATAGTTACAACAGTAAAAAAAAACTCTTCCTTTAGCTTTATTTTACAATTTTTCATTACACTTTGTACGAGACGGTAGAATATTTTCATTTCATAGTTAAAAGTGAATAATTGTATAACTACGGAGATGAAGTATGAAATAGCGAGGCGAGTTTTAGACTGCGTTGCATATCACGTGAAACATTCCGAGGAAATATCAGCGCAATGAGCGTCGCGATAATGAAATTTCAATGCTCATAAGTAAAGAATCTCACCCCGCCTATGCCTTGGATGATCCTCAAGACGATGAAAACTGCGTAGTGGATCTCGGCTGCGGTGGGCATCAGCAACGAGGCAACAACGTTAAGCAGCACGGACATGTTGAGGACCCATTTGGCCGACAAGTACTCGGCCATCATCCCTCCAGGCATCAATGAGACGATGTAACCCCAGAAGTAGGAAGCGAGAATGATACCCAATTGGCTCTCGTCCCAAACGAACGGCCCGTCCTCCTGTTGTGGTCCAGTCCTTGTAAGAAGCGACAGGTTCTTTCCGTCCACGTAGCTGACGTTGGGACTCTGATTTCCCATTCAAGTAATGTATTGCAAATTTATTTTGAGATTCAACTGTTTGCCAAATCCCATGCCACTTGTTGCCGCGGCGGACGCGAAATTTGCTTGTGTTAAATAGCCTCTCATTTTCCCCGACGTCGATTTAACAGCTTTTTATCTTTTACTTGAAAGCGGCTTGGACATGCAATTATTTATAAAATGAAATGTTTGGTATATCAATATCTAATCGGCCTTGTTCTTTCAATGCTTACATTATAAAGCTAGTGGCTTGGTTTGCAATTTTAAACAACGTTATTAAATCGAAGTAGATTAATGAAAAAATAGCAAAATGCCGAAAGATAATGATTTTGTTTATTAATGTAGAATAGGCAAATGGAAAATTGTAGGTTAGGTATACATTTATTTTAAATGAGATATTTAAATGAGATAAAAGCGTATTATCAGACGATAATAATTATTAGAATAAGAAATTTCTCAAACTTTTTAAATAAAATCACATTTATATTCGTAACCGAGGTTGCACAAATTTGCCATCAAATCGTTTCCAATCAATACGCCTCCCGTAGTTTTGCTGTATCTCCGTTTTGCATTCGATAAAGGAAAAAGTTTTTATCGACGTAAGAATTTTTGCGACATAACGATTATTCGCTCGACTAATTTAAAATTGTGTTCTATTTATAAATATATTCGTTAAACATTTATTTGATTACCGAGGCTACACTTTTTCGCATATACTTTTGATTTTAATATTACGAATACCATGACGGCTTAATGAACTTTTTAATAAAATTATTATTATTATAATATAAATGACGCTTGGTTTTTTTAATTTTACATGCAATTTTAATAATTTTCTTTGTACCTTAATAGCGGGATTTTGTATTTGTAACGAATCGTTTCGTACTAGTTCCCTGACAGCTGTATTGTTCACCATCGCTACAATGGCTATGCTCAAGTTTACTTTGAATCCATATATGATAGCTAAGCCAATGGATCCCATAATTGCCATGAGATATCGGACTGGCAACATCTTTAAACCTGTTAAAGATTTAATTAAATGAAAATACAAAAACGGACTAATCAATGAAAGTAGTGATTTTTTTTTTTTTTTTTTTTTAAATAAGAATATAGCATGTGATAAAGAACATAAAGCATATAAATGTATAGAATAGAATTGCTGATATTGTCATATATTATTTATACGCTACGTATTATTCATTTTTCTTTATTACTTTAATGATGAATTCTTTTTGCATAATTTATTGTGAAAATATTTTATGTGTATTTATCACGTTACCTTATAAAAGTCACGCAACATAAATATGCATTAAAACTTAATAGAGTTATAATAATATTAAAAGTTACAATTTAAATCTTCATATAATAATGATAATCTAATAAAGTATTAATTTGATAAATAAATTATAAGTATAATTTGAGACAGGATCGAAGAAAATTAATAGTACATTAACTTTTTAATTTAGAATTGAGAGTCTAATAATATATTAGTTACTGAGATCAAGATTACAAAGTATCGATGGTCATATTTACCAATAGCAGGTATATTTATATAACATAAAATCTCTATGAAATATTAAAATAACATAATAATGTAATAAAAAGAGTCACATGGATAATTTGATAACATTTTGAAAACATGTAGCTTGCATCATTATGTAAGTGTGTGTAGGCTGATGATTACTTTTTAAATTTGAAATTTGAAATTTGAAATTCCTCGAATTGTTTTTCTTAATTTTTTATACATTAAAAATTATAAGGATTTATTCTGCCACTTAGATATGAGTGATCTTAAATAATGGTTTTCATTTAATACTTCGATAAATTGATGAATTACTCAAAAAACAAAAAACAAAAAACAAAAAAACAAAAAAAAAACAAAAAAAAAAAAATTTCCTAATTAAATAAATAAAAATTTCGAATGTCGCAATTTGTTTTATATTACAATTTATACACAATTCACTATCATTATGATGGTATGTTTGCACATAAAGATTTGCATTTTTTCAAGAAGGCAATATATTATTTCGTTCAGGCATATATATCTTTATCAATATTTGATATAATTGACAAATATTCCAATTTTTATGCGATCTTTTTATCTCTCTTTTTTTTTAATTTTTGAAACGACGAAGAATTGTATTTTTTTTTTTTTTTTTTTTTTGGCTTATTAATCCGTAAACATTAAAAGTATTTTAAAAAATGTCTTTTTAAAAAATAGGTGGACAAATATAGCAATTTGCGTCACTGTTGTTGATTGGCAACCTCAGAACCGTCCTGGCACAGAAATCAACTTGAAAATTATCTCGACCTTTTTTAGGAAGGTAATTGCTCGTTAAAATGGTGGAGAAAGAGACTCGCTATTATCCAAGCCCTTATTCAATCAACATTGAGAAGGGGCAGCTATATCCGAACTCACGAATCTTCCACTAGAGCAGTAATTTAAAAATTACTCCGGGGGTCGCACCTCGACCCCGGTTATTCGGTGGCGCCCGACCAGTTTATCCGTAAAAGCCCATACTCGGTCGGTTATTAAAAGCGACGAAACTCCCGCACCCGTAGCACGCGTCGTGACGCTCGACTCCTCGGCGCCCGTCGACTGCCAATCACCGGCTCCCGGCAAACGCGAGCCCAACAGGTTTTGCCGGGCCACTCGAAAGCTGCGCCCGTGGCACAGAGAGGAGCGAACGCGACCGACGACGGCACACACGCGCCTCGTGGCGCCCCTTTTTTTCTTTTTCTTTTTTATTCGGCTCGCAAGTAAATATGCCGCGCCGAAAATAAGAGCCGCTCCTTGCTCCTCCTTCCCCTCGGCCCTTCCTCACCCCAGGCCCCGTCACTACGCTGCAGCCGTTCAATTCTCGTAATGCGAGCTCACTGGATCGCGGACACGTGCTTTTGCCGTAGGCCGCGTCGCGCGGCTAAACGTCGACGGGGGAATTATTTAAGGAAACGAGAGCTACCGGTTCTTTATCTCTATCCCTCCAATGCTCACGTACACGCACACGCGCACGCCCACCCACAAAGACGCTCGCCTACCCAGCTAACAAGACCTTCGTTTCCTGTGCGCGCTTCAAGTGGAGACGCGGCGATGTCACGTCAGTCAACGCTGCCCCGGGAACTCGCGACGTCGATCTATTTTCTCGGCTCTTGTCGTTCATTGTTATCTGCATAGATCGATGTTGGGCTCGCTCTAGCCCTCGCACGAAATCAAACGAATATGCGCGGTTTAAGCGACGACTGTAATTTCGAGCTGCTACCACCTTGAGCGTGCACGTAATTTCTGGGTCGAATTATGTTGTTGCTCGATGCTGGATACGCAATGCTATTGGTGTTTGAAAAGGAGCTTGCTGGACATAATGCCGGATGGGTTGCGAAAGCGTCGTCGATACATTGGTGAATTGCGATCGATTCTAAATGCGCGTCTCTCTTCTAAATACGAGCTTCGACTCGTAGCTACACAAAGAATCGTTATTCTAAATTCAAGCCGGAGCTGCGATAGGAAAATTTGTTTAAAAACAGCATGTTTTCACTCTTATTGATTTTGTTATTTTTCTCTCCTACAAAAGCAAGCTTTATACGTTAATGTTTCCTAGGCGTTGCATCACCTTCTTAAAATCTTTCAATTCAATCCTTAATTATTGTGTTAAATGTGAAAATAACGTCGATTATGGCATCCGCGTGCTTATTGACTTGTTGAGGGTTGCCGCTTAAAAATTGCAAGTCTTTTAAAGCGTTTTGCAAGATAACGTTGAGAAAATGATTAGCTGACGCAAGTATAAACTGGTTGCACAATAAAATGACTTTTCATAGCAATAAAGTAATGTTTCACTTTGTTTCCTGATTTATTGAGACAGACAGACAGACAGACAGACAGACATTGAGAGAGGATTGTGAGGGGTGAGGATGATGGGGGGGGGGGAGAAAATTTTACAATATTTTACTTACTATCGTATTACAAACCACGAACGAAGCGACGAAATTGTTACTTTTTCATTCTTTTCTTTTTTTATCGCATAAAGTAGCGACTATATATAATTAACGTTTCACGATGATAATAATCTTAAATATTCAGTACAATGACATTCCAAAGAAGTATCTATTATTAGAGACAGCTTTACACGCAAATATCCCCCCAGGTTTTTTAACTGGCTTACCCAATTGGTGACACAATGTAAAAGCAAATAAGATCATTGTAATGAAACGAATAATTCACCACCTCTTTTCCAAAGGGATCACGACATTTGAGATAGTATAATAAAAGAGCAGTATCATCGGATTCTTCGATAAAGTTCGACAAGATGCCGAACCAAGCAACATGATCACCGCGACGCTAGATTATGGACCCCTTGGCACAGTCCCAACTCTCATTCAACAGTTCCGTGCCGCACTTTGCGTTCCCTTACATTATAGCGTGCGCGACTTCGCATCCCCGTCACGTGCACTTATCCAACAGTCAATTATCCTCTCTGGGGATCATCCCGAAGACCCACGCGGATCCTCGCGCATCCGTCTTATCTCAGGTGAGTTGTGCGTACCGTCTCGAGAGAGCGGTCCCGATGAAGAGATTCGCCGTTCGTACGCGGTAAAATCGATAGGATCCGGGAAAGACGCGATGTTACGCGAATACGATATGACGACCATAATGATAACGACTGTGATGATAACGACGATGACGACGACGACGACGACGACGACGACGACGACGACGACGACAACGACGACGACGACGACGACGACGACCACGACGACGATCACGACGACGACGACGACATCGAAGATGAGCTTACGCATAAGGTTCGAGGGGAATTGGACGGGCTCGTTTGCGGCCAGTCACGGAGGTCGGGGCCAAGGTGACCTTGTCGAGAGTCAAGTTGGGCGGGAACGGAGCGGGCCTCCCTGGGGATGGGACTCTCACCTCGGGCAGCCTCCTCGGCCGTGGCCATGTCGTCGTTCTCCCTGGTGATGCCTCCGCGGTGTTCGTCCAATCGCTCGGGCGAGCGCGGGCCGACTAAACTGCCGGGAGAAAGGGCTTGCGGCCGGCGACGGCGGCGCCGCCGTAACTCAACCGCTCGACTCGGGCTCCTCGTCTGCCGCTGCTCCTCGGAGATGCCGCTGGGGCGCGTGACTCGCTCGGGGCCGCGGCTCCGGAGACTGAGAGACGTGCGCACCCCGCGGCCGCATGCGCGTCCTTTTACCTGTTGTGCGCGGGCCGCGCGGTATCGGCGGCATCGATCTCGGTTTACAGTGGCGCCGCTCGCCGCCCAGCTGAGCTATCCGGGGGCAGGCAATTTCGGCGGGGCGGTGCCGGACTTTTCCTCACGGCGCGCCCATCGATTTTTCTCGCTCCGCGGAAGTGATTCAGCTGAGATCAGCGAGGATGTCGGTCGCGCGACCCTCCACCCTCACACACACACGCACATACGCGCACACAGACGCGCACGCACGCACGTACATACAAACACGCGGGCGCGCGCGCGCGCGCACAAACAAAATCTCTCTCTTACTCTTTTATAAATTATCGCTTGCTCGTTGCTGCTTAGAGGCGATGAATGAACGATTAACAGGTACTTTAATGGCTTTCGAACTAGATGAGTTAATGATGAATTTCCGCACACGGAAACTCGCTACTAAATTACAATCTTGACTTTTATGTGACAGGCGAGCGAGTGGCGTCATATTCGACATTTGACTTGGCCAGATGATGTTCAAACTTTGAATCTCACTTCAATCGAACTTTAGCTATTACCCAAAGATAAGTTCTATTGCTTTATTCATACTACATCGATGTGAAACCGTTACGTTTAGGAATTTGTACATAAGATATTTAATAATTCAACTTATCTATATATTAATAAAGCAGAAGGTTTCATCTTATATCACATTACGAAGAATTTTTTTTTTTTTTTTTTTTTTTTTTTTTTTTTTTTAATACGGATGCTGATAAATGGATTGCTGAAATGCCATATATCATTTTCCATATTGTGAAATTGAATAGTGGTATTAAAAAAATGTATGCAGATAAGTAAATCGAGAACGGTTTAACTTTAATTGACCTCTTGAAATCAATTTACTTCGATAAAAAAAATTACAAAATAAGTATAAAATACTTTTATCATTAGATTTTTATGATTTATATGTTAATTACATAGGTGTCCATTATTTTTAATATTTCACAATCCGTATTATCATCATCGATATATTGATAAACATAAGATTATTATATTTCAATATTCTTAATAATCTCAAAGAATATATTATTTCATAAAATAATATATTCGCTCGACAAAATTTAGCTATATGAGTGATAAAATGAATAATTATTTCTGTAACAAAAATGGAAATTTCAATTTCCTTAACAGAAGCGTCCAAGCGAAACTTACGAATTATTTGTTTGATAAATAATGCTTGTTATTTTAATATGACAATTTATTTTGTAACTGCGTCAGTTAACAATAATATCTCCAAAAATACATATAGTACTTAGTATATTTTCATTGATTGGATAAAAATGGAAAATAGGTTTGTATACGTGTTCTTATAAAGAAGCAAAGTTTTCTCCCCCACCCCCCAACTCTTCCGACTCGCCATCCACTCCACCGCCACAGCGTCGTCGCCTCCTTAACTCTGCCGCTCTCATTATTGTTATTGTAAATGTAGGTTATGGCTTTTCGACCCTTTCTTGTAATGCATGTACAACATGCGCATGCGTGATAGCTTTCGAATGCTAAAAGTACGATAATATATAAATCATCAGGATTACAAGGAGCATTGGCCATTTGGAATGTCAAAGATGAGGATCCTTAAATATTGAATCTTTAACTTTTCTGAGACAGTTGAAATCAATAGTTGCTACTTTATTACGTGATATGTATTATAAATTTAGTACAATAGAGTGGATAATTTTTACTTTCTATTATCACACGGAATATCAGAAACGTTTGTAGAATTGTGCAAGTGTATAAGTTCGTAAATAAATAAAAAATGATATGCAAATATTATGAATTTTGATAAATTTAAATAAGCTTTAAATCCCATTAAGAATAAATTAATGAGATTTGATAGCTAATAATAATAATAATTTTACGAATGCTCTTAATAATTAATTCCTTGATCAATTAATATATGAAAGTCATTTAATGTCCAATCATAATTATTATAATTACTAATTTAATTGAAATTTTAATTTATTATAATTTATAATACAATTTCATTTAACTTTTTAAGTGTAACGGCAATATGCTCTTAAATATCTACTAGTAAATAAATTATGAAGTTTTTTTCATTACAAATTTCGATATTTATTTAAAGTATTGAATACATGTTTCGTAATATTTACATATAAACGCATTTGTATGCACAATATAGTTTTAATATTCTACACCACTTAATGTCTGACTAAACTCAGTACGCCTCTACGTGTAACAAATCATGACTGTCATTTCCTAAATTTAAAATTTTTCGTTAAAGAAGTTGTTTCTTCCCGAAAAATCGATCGATTTCATTGTTATTTAATAATATTTTAAAAATTAAAAAAAAATCTTACCTAAAATATTAAAATATTAAAAATTAAAATCAGTCATTACTACATTATAAATTTTATACAATGAAATGTTATGAAAAAAAAGGTATTTCAAATTTTTTACAAAACATTACGTTTAATATTGCATATTCTAAACAATATATAATGCAAAAAGTTACTATCGAAATCACGTATATATTATGCGTACGAGCATAATTCCAGTATTAAAGAACACAAACCTAGTTCTTATTATCTAACTATGAAATAAATTTTGACACGGTATATAGATATAATAATATATTATATTAAATATTATATTACGAAGATATAAATTTATATATAAAATATATAAAATAAAATTTGTGTAAAAATTTGTATAAAATAAAATTTAATTAAAAATTCAAATTCACTTTTTCTGAAATATTTGTATAAGATCATCGACTAGAATTAATTTTCACATTAAATAGGTTTATTTACTGGAATCATTGTTTATAATACTACATTCAGTAAAAAATCATATTTAATATTACCCAATATTTCAGAAAATGTGAATTTTAATTTTTAATGTAACTTCTATTATTTTAGTAATATTCTACTACAAAATAATATTTTCATAATTACAATAGAAAAAGTAATCATAAGGTACATCTGACGGCTATACGATAGATGCATTTTTACGAACTTCTTGAAATGATATCAGACGATCCATCTGAACTAGATAAAAGTGAAATTGCTCGTAAAATTCTAATATTTATTTGATTTTAATAAAATATTATAAAAAGAGTTTTAGTCATGTTAATATTTACATATATGAATTTGATATTAAATTTTTATATTTCTTCTAATTATTTTATAATACTAGAAAATTAAAAATAGGAGATTAATGCTATATTTTCGTTATGTATAATTGTTAAAGTAAAATTTTTAATGTAATTTTGGATTAACAATTTTTTTAACATAATTGATCGAATGCAATAATATATAATATAATTGATAGAAAGTTTAGATAATAATACAATGTATCATATGATTTTTAATATATTTTGATTTACGTATTATTTATATATTAAATAATGAATGATTAATGGATGTAAGGAAAAATAAATGCAGTTTTATTCTTTGCAAAATAATATTTCGGAATAATCATGCAAACGTCAAATTTTTTATTAAAATTAATTATTAACCGATTCACATTATTAAATAAATATTTATGATAATTATTTTCAAAATATTAAATTCTATGCATATGTAAATAATATTTAAAAACTCTAGTGCTAATTTTTACATAAATTAATAAATTTTATAATTTCTTTAAACAGTTGATTATACTGTAAATTTGTCATTTTGCAAATATCCTTTACGTAAATTGTTAATTAGTTATATATATATATATATATATATATATATATATTGTTTGTTGAATCATTAAAATTATTTATTTTTTATTAAAAAGTAATATTATATTTTATAAATTCGAAGAAAGACTCGATCGTTTTTATAATTTTTTAATTTTAAATTCTATTAATAAATATAACAATAAATAGGTAGAATTATTTCGTAGGTTGTATCATATTATATCGCTCAATTAAAATTCGTAAATTTTTCTAAAGCTAGATACGTCGTGAATATACACTAATTTATTCAACTAATATTCACTTTTTTTTAATAAACAAGTGTGAATTTATGCAAAGGAGAATTATAGTATCAATATAGTATTAATGCCTTTTTTTTTGTATTTATATCTAGCATTATCACTCAAATTTAATAAAGTTTCAAGATTAAACAATAAGTAGAATTTGTAAATGTATAGTGATAATGTAGTAATTTGCACATGTTTATACATTGATGTTTGATGAATGTTACCACAAAAATGGAAGGTGAATACGTGCGTGACATTTACACGTGGCTTGATAAAATTCCATTCTCCAGACCAAAACGAAATGTAGCTAGAGATTTTTCAGATGGAGGTAGTTTTCATTTTTATTGTCAATGAGTTTGGTATGATAAAAATTTACTTTCAGTCAATGTACATTAGTATTCTTAAATTGTTAAATATTTTATAATGATTCAATTATAATTTAAATATAATCATCATTTTTGCTACATGAATTAATCGAACATGAAAAATAGAACCATTGCTTGATAATTCATTTGAAGTAGTATGAGTCATAAGTTATTTATATTTGATTGACGAAAATGTCAGTCTCTTTTAATGGGCAATACAAAACGAACAAACATTTTCATATTACCATTACTATGATTTTGCAATAGATGAAATTCTCCAGACTAAACATCAAAGAAAACTTATTTTCTGCAGTCTGAAAATAATACGTAATACTTCGTCGTATCTAATTCGCAATAATTAATGAAATATCAACGGAAACGTTTTAAATTTATATAAATTCGCAATTTCACAAGTGTTTTATAAACATCTATTTCAAATATCGCTGTAATTAAAAGAAAAAACAACAAGAAAACAAATATAAATATTTACGTGTACATAGGTTTATTGATAGAAGATGTATTATGAATACTTGAATATACTAATACGTAAATAAGTTTCTACAATAAATTGCAAAAATTTGTTAAAATATTTTTAATTATTATTTTTCAATATTATGAATGATTTTTTATTTCATGTACTATATTACATAGAATAAAATATTTAACAAACATTGTCAATCTTTTTAAACTTTTAAATATAAATTTTAAACTTTTAATGATAAATATATTTTCATTAAAAATATTGTCTATTAACCTAAATTATGATAATAGAAAAACATTCTATTGATTTCTGTATGCGTGTTATATACGTGACATAATACAACACAAGTTTTTTTTACTAATCGATTAATATTTTTGATATTTCACAATTTTAATTATATATTTATCAAAAACTTTATTGAATTTCAAAATGAATTTTATAAATTTAATTTGGTCTTTAAATTTTTCTACTTATTTTATTGAATATATTGAAAAAAACTTGCAAATCATTTGTAAGATTTTTTTTTTTGGATTATTTTCAATCACATTTTTCTGTCATGTAATTAATATCATGTAATTTAACTACAAAAAAAGATTATTTTATTTATACTATCATAAGACCTAACTCATAATTTAAAATTAACATTTTTTAAATTAAGTATTATGAAACAAAAATTTTGTTTTCTTGGAGCATTGTCATCGATTATTTAAGTTTGTCTAAGTTCAATTTTCAATCTTATAATAAAAATGATTAAATCAATTAAAATTTATAGTAATTATTATTACGAGATGGAAATATAACATTATTACAACCAAAATATTACTTATGTAGAACAAATGAATTCGAAGCAGACTTATAAACAATGCTAAATTTATTAAAAATATTCGTTTTAATTAACATTGTCCTATTATTTCTATATGTAATTTTAAAATTTAAGAGATTTATGATAGATAATACAATTGACATCTTCCTGTTTCATTGATTTTTAGTATTGATGGCGGAATTGCTAAAAAGATACTATCCGCGATATGTCGAGATTCAGAATTATATTCCAGGTTGCAGTACAGCGAAGAAACTCGACAATTGGAATACATTAAATCGTAAGGTACTTTCCAAAATAGATATTAAACTTAATAAGGATGTAATGAATCGATTGGCTCAATCACAACCTGGAGAAATTGAAAAACTTTTACTTGAAGTGCATTCTAAAATTATAAAAGATTGCAATAAAGACCGGAACTGTTTACTTAAAGGATATAAAGAGTCAAGTTTAGAGGGTAAGATATGGAATAAATTTAAATACAAAAATATTAAATTATTTATTTTTCAATTATAAACGTAGAATCAATAAAAAGTGCCACAAGTCCCGAGGAATTACTAAATCAAACTATACCACGTAAGGTATTTATGAAATTGAAAAAAGAACTCGATGAGAAGACGCAAGCCATTCACATACTTATAAAAAAAGTTGAGCACTTGGAGAGTATGCTTAGATTTAAAGAACAAAGAATCGAAGACTTGACAACTCAGATCGAGTCACATAATTAAATATCTAGAAGCTTATACTGAAAGGGCATTATTAAATATAACTGAAAGTCGGAAGAGTATTAAGTAAAGAAAGACCATTGTATTTTATTATTTACAATTAACATAGTGATGAATGTATATAAAAGAAACAATAAAAATTATTAAATTATTCTCATATTATTAATTCTTATGTAAAATAATCATAGGCATGATAAAAAAAATTTTCAGAGGAAGAAATCATACATCATAACGTTACTTCAACAGCAACTCGCAATCAAATACTATATCGCTGCCCTCATACTCGGAGGTGAAACAAGTATAACGCCATCCCCTCTTACAAAGAGCATGGGTATGTTTCTTTTGGTCGTACGGTAGACTTCCTCGTAAGTCTCTTCATCGATTTCTATAGTAGTAACCGTTTCTTCAACTTCACCAAGCACCATATTCAAGTGTTGATCGTAAGCCTAAAAGCGATGTTTGTTTTAAAGTTACATTAAACGAAAGCTAAATGCGTATATCAATTTACATGTAATCGTCCACGAAGCTCTCGTTCATTTCGCATTTTAACATAAATTCGCTCATCCAAGCTCAATCTAATTAAATCAAGCGGCTCTTTCACATTTATCGCCGGCACCTGCTTAAGGTTAGGTCATTGTAAACACTTATATAAAATCCATATAAATTTTGTCGTTAAATAAAATGATAACGTACCTGTTCCACATCGTCCGTCATTTTAAATTCTTACAATATTATAAAGTTAAGTTGACGCAAGATTATTAAGATCGTCAAAATTATCGCTATTATTATCCAACAAGCTTCAATGAAGTTTACTCTCCAAACATAAATTACAATTTCCTAGTTAGACGAGTCGTGATTAGGATAAAGATGGCACCACATGGCAAGAAAAATCGACTGCCACTTGTCGTCTTAAAATTATTGTTACGCCTATTATATTAAATAATAATAATAGGCAGGACAATTACAGTGATAAAAGGCAACTGTTGCAGCGAACAGCGTGCGATGAGAATGAATTCTCGTAATTAGCCAACAGCCATGATTAATCTTATCAAACTTTCTAATCAAATGTCTCTTTTTCATAATGCATGGCAAGCTCTACGACACCTACAAAGCGCAGCGCGTACACACGGCTAACAACAATAATAATAATAATAGCAATAAAGATAGCAGCAATGGCTCGGTTGCAATGGCAGATATTGCGAATGACCGTAATCGGCAAGAGCGTGGCGCTGGCGAATCCTCGCGGCTCCGGGGGCACCCGGACGGAGCACGAGGGCCTGCAGTTTCTTCTCTTACCGACGTCACCGAGCTCGGCGAGTGGTGCCCTACTCGACGCCCGTGTCGTTCTTGCTAACCTCATTGCTCCGTCAGCCAAGTGCTCGAGAGGCCGTGGAGAGAGAGAGAGAGAGAGAGAGAGAGAGAGAGAGAGACAGAGAGTGAGCGATAGACGGGAGTGCGGCAAATCCATCGCGACTGCTCCCTCTCGGTGTGCCTGCAGTTTATCCGTGGGCGTGTGCGCGCACGAGAGTCGTGTCGTCGCACGTAGCGCAGCGGGACGTCGGTCTATCGCTCCTCGACTCCGGGCCGACGAGCGGCCCGAAGCGCCATTTTAACTGCGCGGTGTGTGTTGTTGTGCGCCAACAGCGAGATCTCCTCGGTACCGTCTACGTCGTCGTCCTCTACACCGTTCTCGCCGACCGCTCTTGGGGTCGGGGGGAGGAGGGAGCCTTCGCCACCAGATTAACGGACCGAGGAGGCGTGCCGTCACGGCGGCCCGGCGCCTGAGCCTCCCTCGGGTGGACCCCGTCGACGCCTGCCGGGACTGCCATCGTGGACGAGGGGCTAGTGGGAGCTACCCGGGGTGGCCCGCAGACCTGACAAGCGACCTCGGCCTTCTCGTCAACGTAATGCCAACGCTGCTGCTGGCGTCTGCCGCGCCGGCCAAAATGGTGAGTTTGATTATTCGAATGCAGCGACAGTTTTACCCGAGGCCACGACGACACGAATCATCATTTTCACCTCCCTGTGGAACCTCCTCCGAGCGAGCTAGAGACAACTTCTGCAAGGAGCTCCTCACCTCTCCTTACCTCACCTCTTATAATCGCCTATCTTTCTCTCTCTCTCTCTCTCTCCGCTCCGTTACCAGCTCTTTCCTCACTCGCTATTCTCTCTCTCTCTCTCTGTCTCTCTCTCTCTCTCTCTCTCTCTCTCTCTCTCTCTCTCTCTCTCTCTCTCTTTCTGGCTTACTCGCTCTTTCGGTCGGTGGGGTTTTCAGCGACCCTATTCGCGGCCTAAATCTCTCTTTCTCTCTCCCCCCCTCTCCCTCTCCCTCCCCTCTCCCTCTCCCTCCCTCACTCCCACCCCCACCCTCTTTCGTTCCTTCTTTTTCTATCTCCTTTCTCTTCGTTTTACCCTTCCCCCTCTCAATCACTCTCTTTCCCATTCGCACACACTATCTCAATCTATCTATCTATTTATCTATCTCTGACTATCTATCTATCTCTTCTTCTCAGTCTTTCCCTCTCGCCCTTATACGCGCGTACGCATACGCTCGCGCGGGCGCTCGCACATGTACACATGCATACACGCGCGCATTATCTTGTTGTCTCGTACGTACTCGCGGGGATCCTTTGAAGAGGGCAGGGCCGTAGCACTCGCGGCTCGATTCTCCTCAGTCGAAGAGAATAGTGTACGTAATACGTACTCGTGCGTACAATAACGAGACGGCGACGATGCCCCCCCCCCCCAACCATACCCGCCGGCTACCCGGGGGGGGGGGTGTTTATTGGCACTTGGTAATGATGATCGCGGGGAGAGCCCGCTCGAGCAACTTGAGTGCTGTACTTCTTAAAATCTATCGTCCGCTCTCAGCTTTAAGGAATATTTGCTTCGCGAGCTTTGTCACCTGACTACATGAGATTGGCACTATTGTTTTCGTTTGCTTTTACTTTATTACGTTTCACCACTTACAGAATAAGACGCTCAGATTCAATCAATTTCCGTGCCTTTGTGCGTGCGCGCGCCCGCCCGTTCTCTCTCTCTCTCTCTCTCTCTCTCTCTGTAGGTAAGCAATAAAAGTTTATTGTAGCTGAAAAACTTAATAAATTCTTCGAAGCCTAATTATCGTCGATCGTAAGCATTAACGTTAATGTAGGAGTAATTTGTAATTTGCTCTGTCTACAATATGGAATAGGTAGCTCGACGCAGGTTTGAATTATGTGATTAACTTGAAATATTCGATACATCATTCGTTTGTTAAAGAGCGAAATTGTCATTTTCGTGGATAAGTAGTTTGGTCATTTGTTTTCATTATCATTCTCTTCGTAAAGTGTCATGATGACGTGCGTGCGCGCGTCATCGCATTCGAAAAATCGCGATAAGCAGGCAGTGCAATTTTCGCGTTTGATAATTAGCTTGAAAATACATTACGAACTTACAACCACATCGAGTCTACAATTATATTTAACATTTCAAAAACATCTTCAGTACAGAAAATTAAATTGGGCTTAGAACTGAAGAAGTTCTTGAAAGATATTGTTGAACGAATTTTTTCCAGCACATTGTGCAATGTTTTATAGCGCCATATGCGTTAATATTGTAATTTAATCATTTTCCCGCTGAGATTTAACTGCTGCGAATAATTGCTGTAATTTCCTTATGCATTCATCCGCTGAAATTAAGTTTTATCTATTTGTTACAACAACTACCTGAAACGAGCGGCACTCGCTCGGTTCTCCTTATTCACTTTGTCTATAAAATACGCTCAGTTAAAAAAAAGAAAAAGAAAAAGAAAAATAAATATATAACAAAATACGTAAAAACATAGGCACGTGTAAGCATATGCGTGAGCGTGTTACGAGTCTCTTTGCAACCCTCCTGGACGTTTTTGTTTACTCTTAATATTTCGGTACGAAAAGGTACGGCGCTCGTACTCCTTTATAACTCACTCACTCACTCACTCACTACTTTATAACGACCGACACTTTCTCGGTTCCACAAAACGAAGGGTGGAAATGTGCAGGATCATCGTGAATAACTGTACGTACATAAATTGTCATAGTTATTCTCTAGTGGAAATGTATAGATGGATGCTTTTGTGGGCATGAAATTGGGTAAGAAAATCCACGTCAAGCCAAATGAAAGTTGACTTTGCAAAGTTAAAATGCAGCACAATGTAAACTAAATCGACCTCGATACATATGTACAATCGACGTTTGTGAGATAAGTAACAGACAATTCGCTAGACAAACCTCGTTTAAAAACGAAATTTCATTGTGTACGGCAATGCTCGATAATATGACATTACATACATACGCTATCGGCCTCTTAATGTAGCTTCTGTGTGTGGGAGCGTATCGGTGTAGACGCAATTTCTCTATAACCGTTGGTTAAAAAACTTCAGTAATTCCATTATAAATAATAAAAAATAAATCAATAATAAATGCAATGAGTATAAAACGTTTTTGATTGCTCTTGAAAAAAATTTCGAATAATGATTTCGAATTTCATATGTGCTTGTGTGATGCTTTTTAGGCTGAAAGTCTATAAATTGGAATATAGGATTTTAGAATTTATAATTAATTAATATATGTTTTTTATAACACTATTATCTTATTGAATGTTGTTATTATTATTATTATTATTATTATTATTATTATTATTATTATTATTATTATTATTATTATTATTTTGTTTCTCACTTTAAAGGTCTTTTCAAAAACATAAGACTGAATTTAAATGCGATAAAGTCAATTTTAATCTTAATTAACCCGATATTCTGTAGTGTTCAATAATTAATTAGACATTTAATTAATCAATTGCACTGTCAAGAAGCAATTTATATTAATATGAAAGTAACAAATTATCTGGATTTATTTTAAATTAAAGAATTATTTTAAAAAGAATTAAATATTGAAATTACCATTCTAAACGCATATTTATATATCCGTAAACTTTTCCGATAATTTAAATAATGAATACACAAATTTGTTCACTCAAGTAATAAAAGTCATTATTATTTATACCCTACTGTGGATACTTTTAAATTTATTATATCTGCTAATTATGTAAAAACATTAAAATAATTGAAAATTGACGAATTAATTTCAAATAATAATAATAACAATATTGAAGATTATTTTGAGTGTTTCAGTCTTCCAATGACTCTTGCAGTATTATTTCATAATTCACATATATGTCAGCATTACGTAGTGACAATCTTATTAATTCATCAAATAAATAAATTAATTAAATTAGTTATTATATTCAAAACTAATTTATTCCATTAGACAGTTGATAGTAAGAAAAGATTAATTGTTTAATAAAGTTCCTACTTATTTATGTTCAGATTCTAAAAACATTATTCAATATTTAAATGTAAATATGATTTATATTATTAAACAAAGAATATATACCGTTATAAAAATATTATTTTGATGCTATAAAAGCATACAGGAAAATGGCCTACCTATTTTGATGTTTATTTATATTTTTGCCTATTGTTAAAATAGAGAAGATAATATTAATGTCAGAGCTGTCAGAGCTAGAATTTTAATAAATCTTTTCCGTCTCAATCCATACTAATTTCAATAAATGGTGATAGTTGCATTTTTAAGATCTTAGGCGTCATCAAAGTGGATCATAAATGTGGATATTATTTTAGCATCATGTCTCAGTAGCTCGGAAATTTATTCCGTCGAGAGATCCACGTGATAAACAAATAAATTAACAAACGTAAAACATAAAAATTGTACACTAAAATATCAGTTTGTTCGTTAAAAAAAAATAATTTAAGCAATAAAGTTCTATCATTCACATTAATGCAGCTTTGTTCAAAGTTGATACTATCTAATAATGCATTGGATCCAAATTTAGAAAAGATGTCGGACGTATTTTTACTTAGTTGAAATCTCCAACTGGAAACCTAACCTCGATCTTGCATCACTGTCA